ATGTTGATACAGTGACTTTAACCAGCTGTTATGAACACACACACACACACACACACACACACACACACACACACACACACACACACACACACAGGGGAGTGAGTGAAAACTGGCGTCATCATTCTAACCCACCTCATCCATTTCATCCTCTCCTGTGAGTTGCCTCGGCCTCCACTGGACGGCCATAACGTCACTCTAAATCTTCCTCCTGAACACAGCTCGAGAGGTCCACGGCAGCAGTAAAGTGGACCATTCGTTTTCAAAGCGTAGGCAAAGGTTGAAATGAGAGTGATGTGGAGACATTATCAGTCACTCACTGGGTGCCAAAGCTTTATGAGTCACTCCTGCCCCCATTTAAGGGGAGACGGGGAAAAAAAGCTTGTGCTGATGCCCACCAAACAGCCACACAGCTCTTGATGGAGCTTTACTCAAGTCTTTGATATGTCTCCTAATCTCCACTAAACTATCCCACTGGTTTTAACACCCTCACGCATTAGCCTATGTCTTAAAACTTAAGAGTTTATCGTTAGGCGCTAAATTTAGACGCCCTTACTTAAGACTCAAGGCAGCCTTGGAAGCTGCGTGAATAAGAAATTTATAAACCTTTCTAAACACAACAAAAGAGCAGGAAATGTTGTATTGTTTTAGAATTTTGCGCAATTTACCCGTGAAAGATTTAAGGATGGAAGAAGATGCTGTGATTTTCATCTTAGTTTGTGTGGACAAACGYTTTAAAATAACTCCTTAGTGAAGGACAGGGCCCCAAAACGGAAGTTTCACGTTTGCGAAAATTCTATCCTCTTTTCATTATTACTTCCTCCTCCCCCAAAACCCTTTTTCTCCAGTGCTCCTGAGAGATGCCTTCTGGATTCCAGGGGAACCTACCTGTCCACCTACACATCAAGCCCATTCCCGGTGGGCTTCTGTGTTAAATTCCAAAAGTTAAAACCCATTACCAAGCTATCAGCCAGCTCATAATGCTGTATAACGACCTCATTTCCCTAAGTGTCAGCCCAGTCAGTCATCTGAGGGGCCTGTCAGCTCCACCGCTCGGGTCCGGGGGTCCCGGCTGCTCCCAGGCAACGTCGCCACCATCTCCGTGTGCAGCTTGTCCTTATCAAATCAGGATAGAANTGGCACTTCCGGTGGCAGGTGTCACAAGTGCCACAGTTTTCTTCTGGCACTTCCGGTGCCTCAATCGTGTGTTTATTAATCACACTGAATCCATCTTCTGTCACTTGTAAATGCAGGGATGAAATGGACGCTGGGCTATTTCCCTTTTTTAATAAACATTTCTATTTTGCAGCCAAGTTGTCTTCGAGAGCACCAAATGTCAAGTGTTAGCTTAGCACGCTAGCTCGAATGAAGTGAACAGTGAGTCAGACTCAGACCTGATTCTGAGACGAGTGATTTCTGCTGTGGTGGTATGAAAACCCCCAGAAGAATAAATGTTAAGAAGATCGGGAATAAAACAGCTAACTGGGAGACGAACCAACACACAGTGAGTACAGTGAGACTTCAACTATTCTGTTTTACACATGTAAACAAACACTCAAATGATATGAGAAACCTAGAGGCAGAAATGTGTATAAGCGTTTTTTTGGTTGAATTTATAAATTTGTGTAGAGTAATGTACACAATCAGGAGAAACCCAAAAAATTTATCATAGTATTCTTTTTTTTATTAAAAAAAAAACACATTACGTACAACAAAACAGTACAAATCAAATGAAATGAAAGACAGCAGCAGAAGAAAAATCTTTCCACAGACTCATTATAACATGAAAATCATTTCCACAGGCCAAGACTCATCTGACCTACATTTTAAGGACAATGGACCTTTTTTCTTTTGATGACAGTAATATTCATGTTTTAGATTGAGAAGATGGATAGTTTGAGAGAGGTATAAACAAAGTCATATTTTAGAGACGAGGAGGGGGTACCAGGTTTTACCCTCGCAGCACATGCAGTGCAGATTTGAGTGTAACCTCATGACAGTTTCATACTTGATTTGCATCTTCGTGCATGTAAACCAAAACTTGTCTCAGGTGAAACAAATGCACTAACACTGAATGAAAAAAGAAAGGAGCACAAACATGATGTGAAACTTTGCGTAGGTTTGTTCTCGTAGGTTGAACGTCTGTTTTAATAGAATACTTTGTGACAACTGAACACAGGTTGTTGTTAAAAAATAGAATTTGTTCTCAGCTGGCTAACCTGCTTAAATATAGGATAGAAAAGACATTGAGTTACAAGAAAAGGCTTCAGTCAATAACAAAATTAGGCCTGTTTTGAATGGGGTTACTTATGTTTATTTATTTACCTTTTTAACCAGGTAAATCCCTGAAAAATAAATAAATTAACCAGGCAAATCCCATTGACATCACAGATCTCTTTTGCAAGTGAGGCCTGAGTCTGAAGGCAGTCTGCTATGCATGTTTTTAGTCTGTGAGAGGAAACCGGATTACCTGGATAAAACCCACGCAAGCACAAGAAGAACATACAAGTCTGCACAGAAAGACTCCGGGTCTAAATCGAGATTCAAACCCAGGACCTTCTTGTTGTGAGGCGTCAGCGCTGACCACTGATCCATCGTGCTGCTATGCTCCCATGTGAAGAAAAAGTCTATCCACCAAATATTGCTGTTGACATGGAAAAAAAGTTTCCTATAACTTGTCTGTGTTTCTGTTTCCCGCAGACGCCCAACAGCTGTTGGTGATAAAAGAAGATCTTTGTCCTGCGAAGCAGAACTTGTGTCTAGAGTCTGGACCGGGAAGACCAGAAGAACTCCGGGTCTTGAACAAGAAAAAATGGAGAGTGAAATCACAGAGTTCACTTTCAGCCCAGTCCTTGTGAAGTTTGAAGAAGATGAAGATCAGTATTTAGAATCCGATTCTAAAGACCACAGTTCAGACGAGATGGAACTCAGTGAAGGAAACTGGGGTCACAGCAGTGAAACTCTGTCACCCTTCAATTCTGTCAGAAACAAAGTTCCTGTAGGTGATACGGGATCTGAGAGTAGTAAAAATATTTACAGCTGTACTGAATGTGGCAAAACATTCAACCGCAAGTCTTGTCTGTTAAGACATGAAAGAATTCACACTGGAGAGAAACCCTTCAGCTGCTCTGTCTGCAAAGCAGCTTTTGCGTTTAACTATTTGCTAATGCAACACACAAGAACGCACAGTGGGGAGAAACCTTTCAGCTGCACCGTTTGTGATCAGAGGTTCAGCAGGAAGGACTGTCTAAACTCTCACATGAGATGTCACACGAAAGAAAATTCATACAGCTGCTTTTTTTGCAGCAAAGCTTTTCCATGGAAGGAGAAGTTAGAGGAGCACACAAAAACCCACACCGGAGAGAAACCTTACAGCTGCTCAATATGTGGCGAGAACTTCAGCCGCAAGTATATTCTAACGTGCCACATGAAACGTCACAATGGAGAGAAACCTTACTGCTGTTCTATTTGTCAGGCAGCTTTCAAGTGGAAGCAAAATCTCGCACGGCACACAAGAACCCACCTAGGAGAAAAACCTTTCAGCTGCTCAGTTTGCAGAGCAGCATTTGGACGAAAACAGGACTTTGTGGAACATGCAAGAATCCATACAGGTAAATAAGTATTCTGCTGTATTATATATGGTCAAAGCTTTAGTAAATTTAAATATCACAAGTCACACAAAGTGTCACAAATGAGAAATAATTTATTTATACGTTKCAAAAAGATTTTCTTGGCTGTCTGAGACCAAAGCAATATTAAAAACAGCAATATTCAGGCAGTTGCAATGAGTTAAAATTACAGCTGCTTTATAGATGCTGACAAATGAGCACAAAGGCAAAAAGCAGAGGAGATTCACAACTGTACACCATGTCTGATTTTAAGATTTATTATTGTTCTTATTAAATGAAATACAGAACCATTTGTGTTGATGCTAAGTTTCTGTTCGTCTTTACAAAATAACTTTTTCCTATAACATGTCTGTGTTTTTGTTTCCTGCAGACGTGCAGCAGCTGACAACGACAATAGAGGAACTTCCTCCTGAGCAGCAGAACTGGAGTCCCAGACTGGACCAGGAGGACCAAAATCCCTCACAGATTAAAGAGGAAAAAGAGATGATTGATATCACAAAGTCCAGTTCTGTTGCTGAGAGGAATGAAGATGAAGAAGCGATATCTCAGTCCTCAGGATTTCATCTGGACCAGACCGAGGAGGACGTGGACTCTGTAGGACCAGATCCAGATCAGTATTTTGACTCTGATTCTGAAGATAAAACTTCAAGCGATAGAAACTGGGAGATCGGTGAATATAGAGATGTACACTCTGTAGAAATGAAAAAACTCATGGTTGATGACAGCACGTACGACGGCAGTAGGAAGAGTTACAAATGTACTGAATGTGGTAAAACGTTCACTAGCAAGTCGAACTTATTAAGACACAACCAGATCCACACCGGAGAAAGACCTTTCAGCTGCTCCACCTGCAGCGCAACTTTCAAATGGAAACAAAATTTTGTACAACATCTAAAAACCCACAGCGGAGAACGACCTTTCAGCTGTTCCATCTGTAAAGCGGCTTTCAAATTTAAACAGCACCTCGCCCGACACACGAGCACCCACACCGGTGAAAAGCCTTTCACCTGTTCCATCTGCGAGGCCACTTTCAACTGGAAACCAAACTTTTTACGACACGTCAAAACCCACACTGAGGACAGACCTTTCAGATGTTCTGTCTGCGAGGCGGCTTTCAAATCKAAACAAAACCTTGTGCAACACACAAGGACCCACGGTAGAGAAAGGTCCGTGAGCTGTTCTGTCTGTAAGGCAACGTTCAGGTCTAAAGGACATCTTCTGCAGCAAACATAAGAACACACACGGGAGAAAAACCGTTCAACTGCTCTGTTTGCAAGGCAGCATTTGGAAGGAAGCGGGATTTTGTGGAACACGCAAAAATCCATGCAGGTAAACCGTCTTTTCGCCGCACAGTCTGAGGCCAAGCACTCGCTGAGATCACGTGAAGCTTCACAAAGAAGAAAAACCTTTCAGTTGCTCTGATTATAAAAAACGTTACTGCAGTGCATGAAAAGTCTCACTGAAAAAAACAAATCAGCTGCAACTAAAGAAACGCTTGGCTGTCAGCAGCCAAAATACATCAGCTCATATCTGTTTTATAGAAACACTGTTAGAATCGACTCGATGATGCATCAAATGTATTTTTGCATTAACGGTGAAAAGTTTACTTCCACTCATCTTGTTCATGAATATGAGAATTTATTAGGGGTGTAAATCACTAGCTTTATCACGATATGATATATTGATTTGTTTGGATGACGATTTGATATTTTTCGATATCACAAAGTCTGTTACGATATGAATTAAATTCACAAGTCTGCGATGGATATAATGCGATGTTATATGCTCTTTTAGCACAAAGACTGTGTTGGACTTATGATATTGATCTACATTGGGCTTATGATGACTATATAGATCAATATTTTCCTTTTGCCTTGATATAATTGAATCATGAACCGTTATATCGATATGGATCGATGTATTGTTACACCCCTAGATATCGCTTTTATTTTTTTTCCACTTGCTTTTCAGGATCTGTGTTTATTTTCTCTGCAGATGTTCAGCAGCCGTTGGTGACCAAAGAGAAGTTTCCTTCTGAGCAGCAGAACTGGAGTCCAAGACTGGATCGAGATGAACAGCTCCTGCATATAAAAGAGGAACAAGAAGAAGCTGAAATTATAGAGTTTATATTCAATCCTGGCCCCGTGAAGTTTGGGGATGATTAGACCTCAGTCCTCTGAGCTTTATTCCAGGAAAAAAAAAAAAAAAAAACAGAGACTCTGCGGGACCAGATCCAGATTATAGTAGTATTTAAATTAAATCCTGAAACAGAAATTGGTCAGTGGTGGAAACGAAAAAGAGGAATTTTGAACACAAACATAGCTATTATCAAGTTTCTGTAGGTGAAACAAGAAGTACGCGCAGTAAAAAGCTTCACAGCTGCTGCTCTGAATGAAAAACCTTTGAACCACAGGTTTCAATGTAATCCACACCTGGAAGAAAACCTTTGAACTAGAAAATGTTACTTCAGCACACACACACACACACAATTTTGCACTTTGGAAACTTAGAATGTTTTTATGACTCAGCTTCGATTAAAACATTTTGGACATTTTAAAAAGCTGTATTTTTTATCCTTAAGTGTAGGGATTTTTGTTTTGAGCGGTAGTTTCACACTTTTTGATAATGTTAACGTGCTTCCTAATATTTCCTGTTTTGTCATTTACTTTTAGTCCAGTCTTAATATATGTTTTGACCCAGAAATGTGTTGATGTGTAAAGCCACCAAACAGAAAGCTGTGAATCATCAAAAAACACATGGTCGACTGAACATGATGCATCTTTTCAGGCACTACTTTCACTTCCTCTGATGTGTAGGTTATCAAACCTGCCTCTTGATATTTTGTCATATATAGACCTTTAATATCATTGTAATACCCATTACAACATTTGATATAAATTAGTACAGAATTGAAAATACATTATTTTAAATAAACATAATGGAATTATTACGTTCCCCTTCACTTCCTGTTTGTGCAGGAACGATGGCGGCATTTCGCCATCTAATCAAAACGTTCATTTCATGCGTTTTTTAATGTGCAAAATGAGTATTTAGGTTATCTAGTTTCTTTTTCACATTTAAGTCCAGTAGGTGGCAGTAATGCACCAGTGTTTATGCATAAGTTCAACAAAATAATTTTTTTTTACACAAGCTATACGGGGAAAAAGCATTTATATATATTTTTCTTACTTCTTTTCGAAGTGTGTATTCTCCATGCGGGTTACGTCGGTGAACGCTGCTTAATTTGATTTATTATTATTATTATTGTTGTTGTTGTTGTTGTTGTTGTTGTTGTTGTTGTTGTTGTTGTTGTTGTTGTTGTTAGGATGAGAAGAACGCTTACAGTTTTTACATCCGGGCACTTGTTCGCCATCTTGGTAATTTTTTGTCAACAAACTTGTAGCGCACGTGAGGTAGATAATGGTCATGAGCTGCTGGGTTAAATGTTGCAGAAAAAGAGCGGATAAATCAGTAAATCGAAAAATAAGAGTGCATGAAGGAGAACAAACTGCAACTCAGTACTGAGAGACGACGAGTGGAGCCTTCAGACGTTTCAAGAATTTGCTCTATCACTGTTAGCGGTAAGGAGAACTTAAAGGGAAAATTAGTACTTGGCAAACAACGCGTGATTTCTGAAACTCGATAACTTAAACTAGACTCATGCATGTAGATGCCCAATTCTGGTGCATCTGCTCTATATTACACATCCAACGAAACATGTTAGAGATTTACAGACTAAAGTTTGCATAAAATAAAAGTAAAAAAAAAATTATACTTTTCAGGCAAATCTTCTGACTTGTATGACAAATCCCACCTAGACTGGACCACCCTGAAGCTGAACGTGAAAGGAAACATGCAGGAACTGCTTTAAAACGGTACAATCACAGTCCACTGAACTTTACATGCTTAATTTCTGTCTTTATATACAGTATCTTGTGATAAAATTGTACTTTATAATACATATAATTTATTATAATGAATATAATATTTAAAAAAACATGTATACTTGGAGTTTTATGTATTAGTTGTGTCAATTTCTACTGTTTAATATCTTTTTAACATTAATATTTTTAATTTAAATGATATTAGCTAAGGAAGCATCAATGTACACAGTACTATACCCTCTTCCTTCTTTTTATAATAGATATATAAGGGCAAAAGAGTGCTCCCGGACAAAGAACAAGCACCATGCAGCTAGAGCCTTGCTGGACCTAAACAAGGATCAGGAACCAGAACTCATAACAACACTCATTTATGATACAACGTTGCATGCCCAACCTTTTCCAGTAAATCAGTTCATGTTATAAGAACCTGACTGAGCATATATTTGTTCCGAAAACACTATCTATTGTGTCTCTATAACATCATTTATGCTTAGAAGAGTCCATGGTTGTTGGAAAAATCCGCAAACAAATAAACAAATCAGCCTCGTTAAAACTGTGCATGTGCCCAGACTTCCAAGTATGATTATTTTCCATTACGGTCTAARGGCATCTATGTAATGTGTTTCCTATGCAGATCGAGATGACTAGTGTCTGTTTCGATCATGTGAAAGCCTCGCATTTTCACGCGTTAAAAGAGTTGGCGAAAAGACAACTAACTCTGAGGCAGGCAAACCAAACACACGGTGATTATCCTTATGTTTATATTTCATGTTTGCATTAACCTCAAGGCTACAGCTTGTGACTATTTTACAGCTGCTGAAACACACTTTAAAACTTGTACTGGGACTAACCTGAGAACATTCAAACTCCACGCTGAAATGTTGAAGCTGGGTTTTGAACCCTCAACCGTTTTATTTGTAGGTCATCAGGTCTAACTAACCACAGCACTATGCTGTCGTTTCCACCATGTCTTTTCTTTAAATGGTGTCCTATAGCCTAATCACTCGTGTATTTTAGTTTGGATCTGAAAACATTTGATTGATTTTCAATCAAAATAAAACATCTACATGTTTTGAAACTGAAAACTAAAACATGGTATCAATGTTAACATAAAAACAGTTTTCCTACATTTTATGTGTGTTTCTGTTTGCAGCAGATGTTGACCATCAAAAAGGAGGGTTCTCCGGGGAGCTGGAGTCCCAGTCTGGACCTGGAAGATCAAAAGCCCCCACAGATTAAAGAAGAACAGGAGGAGAGTGAAATCAAACAGTTCAGATTTAGTCCTGGCCATGTGAAGAGTGAAGCTGATGAAGAGACACCTCAGTTGTCACAGTTTTATCTCAAGCAGACCAAAGAGAACAGGGATTCTGTGGAGCCAGGTCAAGGTTTAAAGTCTGATCCCAGCTTATCCATGGTTTTGTTTCCAGCAGGTGTCCAGCAGCTGGTAGTAGATGAAAACAAGGTTTGTCCTGAAAACTGTAATCTTAAATTGGACCAGGAGGACCAAGAGCCTCCACAAATTAAAGAAGAAGAAGAAAGTGATATCATGCAGTTCACCTTCAGTCCTGTCCCTCTGAAGAGTGAAGGTGAATGTGAACCTCAGTCCTCAGAACTTCATCTTAACCAGACAGAGGACAGAGACTCTGTGGAACCAGATCGATTTGATCCTAAAGGCAAAACTTTAGACCCTTCTGAAACCGACGTCRGTGATGGAAGCTGTAGGGAGAGCCGATGCTTCGTTTGTGGTCAAACATTCTCAAGTAAAGATAGTTTATGTTCTCACGCAAAAGTCCATACAGAAGAAAAACCTTTCGGCTGCTCAGTTTGTACAAAAGCATTTAGACGGAAAAGTGATTTAGTTAAACACACAAGAGTCCACACAGGTGAAAGACCTTATAAATGTTCTTTTTGTAATGCAGCTTTTAAGAGTAATCGCAGTTTAGCAGAACACACGAGAATCCACACTAGAGAAAGGCCTTACTGTTGCACAGTCTGTGGTCTAGGCTACAGGCAAAAGTCATGTCTGACTGGTCACATGAGACTTCACACAGGAGAAAGACCGTTTAGCTGCTCCATCTGTAAAGAAAAATTCAGGTGGAGAAATTGTCTTCGATTGCACAAAAAAACTAAATGTGAAAAATGACCTTTCAGGTGCTCAGTTTGTGAGGCTCCATTTGGAAGGGATCAAGCTTTGGTGGAACACATGAAAATCCATGCAGTAGTCGTGTAACAGTACATGTATTTGTACTGGGACAGTTCACTGCAGAGGTATGGCAAGCAAATATTTCATGTAAGCAACGCTTAGGAATGTATTGTGGCAAGCTTTTTGTCTATAGTCAACATTTTATTAAACATTATTTTCTGTTTTGTTTGTTTATAAGCTGGTGTAGATTCTCAGTCATCCAGGAAGATTTTATTAGGTTCTTCTAAGTATTTGTTTATTTTGTATGAAGTCTGAGTCAAATTATTGAAGCAAAATTAGATAAAATCTGTAATTTTACACCTTCATTACAAATAATGATGCTTTGATTTAGATTGTCTTTGCTTCTGAGAGAAATAAAGTCAGTAAAATAAAGAGCGTTTGGCCTTTTTGTGTTTTAACAGGTTGCAGTTTACTTTAAAATCCTAACTTGTATGTATTTTTGAACTTATTTTGCAGATGGCATTTTTTTTTCTGTGTAAACCGTTCAGACTCCACATCTTGTTAATAAATATGCACCCCCCTTTTTTTGTCAGAGCTGTAAAATAAAAAAAATTATTACAATAATTATAACACTACATCAAGATACTGTAGTTTTGGTTCATTCTTATTCAACACTCAATAGGAAGCAGAACCATTTTCACTTATACACTTCAACCTTCACTCAAATAAAAACACGTAGAACCAGCACAAAATGTTCTTTAATATACTTCAATCTAAATGCAAATTGAATCTTAATGTGAATTTATGTAGGTTCTTTTGTATGATTAGCTTTACGTATTGAAAACAACATTTTGCATTGCATCAAATTAGCATCAATTAACATCAACACAGACGTAATTTGTTTTTATTATATGCTCTTCGATTTTAATTTCCCACAGACAGTGATTTTAATATTCCTTTGGTTTTGCAGAGGACAGGTGTCCTTCCATCCAGCAACAGCAGCTACACATGAATGAAGTCCTAATGTTAAAAAGCATATCTGTTCAAGCTCGGTGGGGCCTGGGGGGCTTGGGAACTGGCGGGTGGTTGCCGGGCTGTGGGCCGGGTGCACGGCTCTGGGCTGGGGGCCTTCGGTGCGCTGGTGGGCCGGGTGGTGGTGGTGGCTGGGTGCGGGGCCGGTGACCCATGGAGGGGGTGGGTTGACCCAGCCTGGGTGTCTAGTGTGCTATATGTTCTGAGAGTTGTACGGATGTTGGGGTGGGTGTAGTATTTCTTCTGGGGTGGGGGATGTGTGGATGGCCTTTGGTGGCGGCCGGGGGGTTGTGCTGGGGCAGCTGGTTGGTCCCTTAGTGGTGGCGGAGCTCGCTCTCAGTGCCTCCCTTGCGCTGCCGGCGGCTGGGTGGGCACTCTCGCCGGTCCTTCCTTGCTGGGGTTCGGTGGCCTCTGTTGGTTGCGGGCTGGCTGTGGGACTGGGGGTCTGGTCTTGGGGGTCTGGATGACTCTGGGGTGGATGGATTGGTGGTTCCCTTCTCTGGTGGTCCTGTGGGCTCTGTTTTGTCCGTGGCCTTGGGCTCTCCCGGCCTGGCGGTCGGTCTAGAGGTGGGTACGTGTCCTGGACCTGGGAGGTATAGAGTGTGTATCGGGAGTGTGAGTGGGGTGTGGCGTTCTTCTTGTCTGTCTTTGAATGAGTGGGTGTGAGAATGAGGGTGGGACTGTATGATTGTATTTGTGTATGATTGGGTATTTGTCAGGTTGGGACTGGGGCTGCTCCCTCGTCTGGTTCACCTGATGGGCTCTGCTCCTGGCCGCACTGCCCTCTGGTGGGGTGTGCCTCTGCCCGCCGGTGCGCTGGTGGCTCTCAATATCTGGGGCTGGGTGCTTGGGTATGTGCCGGCTTGGCCTGGTGGCTGCCTGGTGGGGCTTGGGTCCTATGGCCCTGTCGGGCCTTGGCCTGGGGGGGGGGGCACCCTGTGGATCCGGGTCTCGGTGTCCGTGCCTGGTTCTGCTCCAGTGTGGCGGGGGCCGGCGGGGCATATGGTTGTAGCTGTTGGCCCTGTGGGTTCTGTGTGTGGTTGCTGGTGGGGCTCTCCTGGTTCTCTCCTGTGTTCCTCTCTGGGGGGTGGGTGGGTGGTTCTTGCTGCGCAGGTTTCTTTGGGGGCTCGGTGCTTGGGGTCTCCCTCTGGGTCTGTGGCTCTGGTCCCCCTTAAGTTTGCCTTGGGTCTTGGGGGTTGGGTCTGTGGTCCTCCTCAATCACTATTTAATATTCCACTAGAGAAATCTTGTATTTATATGCATGTTCACAACCGCACAAAAATAGACATTTGGATCCTGGGGTTTCTGACAATCACTGGATATATACTGTATGTGTGTGTGTGTGTGTGTGTGTGTGTGTGTGTGTGTGTGTGTGTGTGTGTGTCAGCAGCTGAAAACTAAAAAACAAAAATAAATAAAAAGGAATCTTTCAAAAATACAAAAGAAACAGAAAAAGTAGGATATACTGTATGTGTGT